GCTAACAATTTTTGCAAAAACAAAGCAAAAAAAGTCATTAATAGGTACCAGCAAACAAAGAAATAATTATTATAATTAATTATGAAGTTGTAATTTTAATTACTAATTATGGGCCAAATATTTTATAATGATAACCAAATTATTTCATAGGAAAAAAAGTATAAAAAGATTATAGTTTCCATTTAATTATGAAATAATAATTACAATATTCATTTCATAATTAAATAAAAATTATAATTTATTCTTCATTTCTCCTTAAAAAATTAAGAAAAGAAATTTTTTTTTCAAGTTAAATAAATTAATAATATTATAAAACTTACGCGGGATATTTACCAGTGGTTTGTTTTGATGTTACCGTATTACTATTATCTGTTGTACGTATCATTAATGATGATGATGGTGCAATTCGTAATTCACGTGGTCGATTAGTACGTGGTAACATTGAACCATCAGTTGTTATTGAAGTATCCTGTGAAAATTCACAACGTGGACTACGAGATAACGGTGTTGAACAGAGTGGATATAATAGACCTGGAATGAAAGAAGTTAAAAAAAAAAAACAGGTTAAATAATACAAATTACTAGTAATGAACAATCTAATTTTCAGAAATTAACAGTAATTATATTATTAAATATTAAATTTAGAATGATAAAATACAGGCAAAAAAAATAAATAAAAAATAACAAACATTTAAATTGAGAAATTAAAATTAAATAGCGATAAAAATAACAAAAATATTAAATGGAATTATTCGATTCATTTGGCCGTAATTACGATTAAATTATTGCTTGCCAGTGTTAAAGTTTTACGAATGAATGTGTTAAGAGTTAAGATAAAAATGCGAAATAAAATACAACAATTCAATAAAATTATTCAACACTTATAAAAATAGAATAGAAAGACTTTTTTGAAAATTTATATGCGCTTTTTGCTCAATTTTAAAAAAGTATTGATTAAAAAAAGAAAAATTTAATTATTATATGTTAAAAGTAAAACAAATTTCTGCAAAATCTTTCCATATGATAAAATTAAAATTTTAACATTTTATAGTTATTTTTGTTTTAGAAATATAATAAATACAACTTAAGGTTAATAAGTTTAAAAGACAATAATGATAATTAAAATAATCTAATAATGGAAATAAAAATATAAATTTGTAATTCATTTCATTCATAAAATTGTTCAAAGCAATTAATCCTAAAAAGACGAGAATAAAGCATTATCATATATAAGCCAAGGGATAATAGCAATGACAACAATGACAACAATGACAATAACGATAATAACGACAATAATGGAATACAGATAAGGCTTCTCGAGAAAGGAAAGGAGGAAAAGAGGAGCAGTATATTTGTATATATATATATATATATATATATATATATATATATATATATATATATATATATATATATATATATATATATATATAGTAATATAATAATAACTATAATAAGTAAAGTAAAGTAAAGTAAGTAAGT